GGGTAGACGAAGACGTGGAATAGAGGTTTATTCACACATACAGCAGATTGAGTACGATGAACAATATATTGAGCCGGGGGCTCCTTATAAGCAAAGGGGGCGGAGCTGACCCGAGCACAAACTACGTGTAGACGGATATGCTTGAAAGGAGATGCCGCCGTGTAGGTCGACATCTGGTAGTGCTACTCACTCATGAGTGATTAGATATTTAAGAATGAATGGCTAAAAATTTACCTTATGGCTTTCACCTAGGTATTTTCTTAGCCATAGACTAACATAGACTAGACATCTAAAACTACATATTATATGGTTGATGATTTACAAAATTATCAACACTATAATCAATACTTGGGACGAGTAGGGGAAAAAAACTACAACATCTTCACTATGTTCTACATGTCTAACGTCCATCTTCGCTTTGTTCATTCTGCAGCCTGGGCCCTGCTACGTAGCAGAGCTCGCAAAATCGGGTGACGGGACTTTTGTTGCAGAAGTCTTCGTTTTCCGCTCTTCCAACTGGCTTTTCAGCAGTCCTTCAATTCGATCTTGTTAATCATCAAGCCGCTGCTGCCTCTTATTTTGGCTGTCCGTGGCATCTATCATTGCATAGAACGTCTTTTGCGTATCGTCCTCGCGATAGGCCTCCGAAGTCATCCGTTTTGTAATTGGCTCCTGCTCGGTGTCGCCGCAGAAGGATCTTTTTTTATTGGATTCTTTGAGATGGTCTTCTCTTCTTTGGTGAGCCCTCATTTGTTGCCATGGGCGCTTCTTCGGGGAGAGGGAGGGGTTCTTCTTCATAATCCAAAACCAGATCGAGAAGATCTTCTTCGAGATGAGAGTAGAAGATGACGTGGACATGATATGATAGTCATACTGCGAACTGGTTTCTATTTATGTCAAAGGCGGTGGCCTCAGGCGACCTCATGTGACTGTAAATAGAGCATCAGAGGTGTAATAGCTCGAATGGGCTAATATGGCAGGGTCGTGTATGAGATGACGAATTTGATAAGATGCATGAC